AAGTATCTTCCCTTTGGCTTTTCGCTAAACGCTGTAGTGTCTTTGGCTGATCTGAGAAAGCTGTGCCAGGCTAAGAGTTCTGCTGTGTGTGACAAGTTCTATTTACTTAATGGTGTATCAAGATCCGGAACAACTGCAACTGTAACAGAGTCTCATGTGAGAGGCATTGCTCACCAACCACTCCTTCTGAATGCATACAGCAAAAACTAAAGTACTGAACTTAAGTATACATATAGAATAAGACTTGTACAAAAGAAAAAAAAAATACACCAACATACAACTCATGTGGTGCAGACCTTCTGGAGTTAAAAGTGGGTTTCATAATTCAGGGTTTCTGAGTGTACAAGAAGAGTAGCTTGCCTATGGAAAGCTAGCATGCCAGGAAGAAATAACTTTTTGCCCTAATATGTTAGTTTTCTGTGTGTGGGTGGGGTGGGGGGCTGTTTTGAGCAAGTGCAAGAACAGGAAATATGAATTTTCTGATTGTACATCTTCTACCTCTATTCTAACCTGGGGTAGACCCAGAAAGTGTGGAACCTCTTGATTTTATGGAATAGATAGATTTCTCTATAAATGAATGTAGTGACATAAAGGCAAAGGGGTGACAGATGTAGTGATTATTTTGAAATCGGCAAAGCCTCTCCGGCTATACACAATCATGATCAGCTGTTACAATTTATCCCTGTTCCTGAACTGTGGACACTTTAAAATCGTATGTCACTTCATGGCATAAAGTAGAAAGATATTTTCCTGCGCAAACTCCACTGGAAAAAAGAAAGAAAGAAACATGAGTGTTCTTGTGCATCTCCTATGCATTTCTGAAAGGTCTGAGCAAGAAAAATTCACAACAGGTTGTACATAAATTCGTGTGCACCAAAGTTCATAGAAGGTCAGTCTCCCAATAATAATAATGGCAGTTAAATTGAACCTCTATGCTCAGAGGCAATATGCCTCTGGGGATTAGATACATATGATTGTCAGTGTACCTCCAGTTATCAACTTCATGCCCAGGGCAGGCTCTGAAAGAACGTGAGATATCCCTCATGTTGAAGCTAAGCAGGTCCTTTCCAGGTCAGTGCTTGGAAGAGAATCACACCTTGAGTTTCATTGTTGAGGAAGATGGGATATAAATATTTTAAAATGATCAATAAATAAAATCACTCTTATATCACATCAATAATCAAATTTGTTATTCATAGTAGAATGTAAAAAGGAGGGCTACTGCTTAGAGAAGTGGCCTGAATTTTATTTTATTTTTTACTTTATTTTATTTGGTAATCTACCTAGAGTGTTTCTACAATCCACCCAGAGAATCCTGTTGGTCTGTGGAATATAAATTTAATAATAAATAAATAATGGTCAATTTTTAATTCACACTTTAACATCAATTTTTGTTAAAGTTTTGCTCTCCATGTATCTAGTGGCTTCCCAGATGAGCATCTGATTAAGTTATACTGGAGTAATTAGTAAATATACATCTAGGATCCCAGCAAGTGCATTTAGCAAGTTCAGGAGAGACCATCTGTGTGATGCAATCACATATTCATTGCTAGACTGCAACAGGAAGTAGAGCTATCCTTAATTTAAGTATAGCCATCATTTTGCCACAATGCTCATCCCCTTGCCGACATACAAAAGATGCCTCGTTTTCCCTCTCTTGCATGGCTTGCCTAAAAGTGCAATGGGGGAACCAGATAGCTTTGAGCTGATTGCACAGGAAATTATCTTTCTAAACTTTCAAATTAAAGCACATCTAGATCAATTAATTATAACCGAGCCATTTCACATTGGTTGAAGTAGAAAATATTTGAAGCTGTAACAATTAGGACTGAATAAAAGGGCTTAAAAATACTGTTCCTGTGGGGTGGAGAAATGAAAATCCAGGGCAGCCCCTGATTAAAACCCAACCATGCAAGATGCTACAGATTACCTAGATTCCAAGTAATGTGACAAATGAGTGGTCAGCAGGTTTTAGTTCCCACGGTTTTGATGTCGGAATAATCCATTCGTTCTAGAAAAGAAACTGAGAGGAATTTTAGGCAGCACAGATCTACTGCAGAAGCCAGGACAAGCAAGTTTAAATAGTGGAATTGAAGTGTAGAAAAAAAAGGCAGGGGGGGGGGGGGCTTACTCAAATGTCAAATGTTACATTTACAGACTAGCAAAAGTGCATTGCCTCTTGTTCTGTCATTACCTGTAGGCCTGTGCCAAAAATAATTACTGGAGGCAGATGACATGTAGCTACTGAAACATCAAATCTACATAATGACAGCAGACCACTTTTAGTATGGTATAGTTGTCATCACTGTGTCATCTACTTTCTAGAGGACCTGAGTTAATATTTTATATTTACAAGGAAGAATTTGCAGGTCTCGCCTAAACTCCAGTGTCACCATTTGGGTATGACTAATACTGCCAAATGGCAAAAAGTATCCACACATGCATGAAGAGGTGTGGCTGTTGAGGTCAATGAGACCTGGATGAGGACTGATCACATCAGTTGTGGATGCATTTCAGGGTCTGCTGTGTGAGTGGAAACCCTCTTTTGGAATTGGAAAATCAGGGTTCTGACTTTCACAGAGAGCTTCCGCAGATACAAAAGGCTCTGCTGAAGAACTTTGCCTTGAAACAAGCAAGGGACTAAGCATGGCTTTCTTGCATTGACCTCCTGCACTGATGTCAAGGAATGTTTGGATATGACTAGCATCTTCAGGGGAACAAGGGAGAGCATCCCAGTGACCACAGGATATTTTGAATTCTCCCTCTTGTAGCTGTACATGCTGCCACTCCTTCAGAAGGGGAAATCTGACTTCAAAAGCTTTCCCCTACACCCTGTCCCATCGCAGCTGCCGTGGAAAGAATCACAGTGGCTCTTTCCAAGATTGAAACAGTGACCTTCTAGAGGTTGAAATGGCACTGCTCTGGCAGCTGTGAAAAGAAGGGGACGGAACAGGATAGGATCTGCAATATCCTATGGCCACTCACCCATCCCCACTCACCACCACTTATAAATGTTGTTTTTATAGAGGTGGAATGAAAGGTGAAATTGTCTCCATCACTCTTCTTGCTCTGCTGACAGCAGCTTGGCAGGGAAGCCTCTTATATCAGAGGCTACTATCCAGCAGGAGCACAAGCCATAGGCTTGCTTCCTAAGTATAACATTTAACTTTCCGAAACTTTATTTCCACATATACATTACTGGTAAAATCTAGGAGGGGATACTCTGCTTCAATACCTAACAACATCCTGAAGATATTGAAAAGTGAAAGCTTATTAGACTTCCTTTCTGGTAAAAATGGGGACAGGCAGTTTTCCTGAAGCAAATCCATTGTGCAGGACTATTCAATTTTTATACTGTCCTGATGACTGCGGCCTGCAAACAGTGGAATACCAGCAGGATTTCATTGGCCAAGAAAATTCTTATCCTGCTGCTGAGCTGCTGGACTGCCTGTGATTTCTCCCCAAAGCTACTCTTTCTCCAAGGTATTTACACAGTTGACGTAGAATTTTTGCATGCTAGTAGCTTGCCATTATGGTTGGTCAACTCAATTTTTCCCTTTATGCATATGTACACTATATAATTGTTTGTACTGCAGTTATGTTCTGCACATCACTTTCCTCCTATAAGAATGGATCTAAGCACTACAGTTCAGGTCTAAAGCATTTTCACTCAGTTCGTGCAATCCTAATTGCAAATGTTTTACTCTAGGGACCTCAGAACCACTGTGCATTTTACCTGTGTTTTTCTAAAGCACCCATTTTGTGCAAGATCAATCAAAGTAAACTTTGTGCACAAAATGTGTATGCATTGAGAGCTGTGGATGAAGTAAACATGTGTCTTAAATGAACAGAACCTTTTTTATATATATATCCCAAATAGAACCACTTCAGATCTTGTACATCCTGTTGATGTTTTTTTTCATGGATCCGCACAACCCATCTGTCTGTTTGGGATATTCAGGCATTTCAGCAAATGTGCATTTCTTATGCCAGCAGTACACAACTCCTGGATATTGGTTCATCTTTTTTTTAAGATACTCCTTCCTTCATGTGCACAGAGACAGAGCATAAAGCAGCAATATTATTGTGCTTCTTATTTCCCTAGAGGGTTTTGTCCTCATTGAGAAACATGCTGAAGCATTACCTCTCCGCTGTGGTTGGTCTGTACAAACCTGGTTACTGGGTTATTTTAAATCCGAATAACTGCTTGTCAAAAGTTTTAAAATCAACCTGGTGCACTGGGATGCCCTACCGGTAGTACCACTTAGGCAGGCCTCCTATGTGATATCCATGTGGATTGCAAATGTGGATTGTGGCTGGCGCAATATTTGCACAAGGATTGGAATCAGTTACAGCTGCACTCCCATGTGCACTTCAGTGGGATACTTCCATGTAAACATGGATAGACCTGAGGTGTGGACTGGGGTGTCATTCCATGGTCTCCATTAGCCAGCTTCCAGTGCCTTAACTCCTGTGACATCAGCACTCAGGGACTTCAGATAGGCTAGTTTCTACAGGATACAGAGGCTCTCTAACCTGAAAAGAGCACACTGTCATTCCAGATCAATGAAGCCCTTCATTTAGGTTAATCTGGAAGCCCTTTCTTTTGAGCTAACACATCGCATCAAGGAACACACAGGCTCTCTCTTGCCTGCCCTTTCCTTGTCCGATCCAGTGTCTGACATCCAGTTGCTATCCCCTTGTTCCTGTTCACCTGAACCCCAGACCATTCAAGTCTGCACCACCTATTTTGGCACACCTGGTCATTGCCTTACCTGTGTCAGAAATTGACTCAGTGTCAGCCTTTGCAAGCCAAGTCTAAGACCGAGGACAGGAGCAGCCTGCACATTGCTTAGGAACCAGCTATTCCCAACAAAGGTACAACATTTTTTGCAATAAGGACATATTAAAGAGTGGGGGGATTATTTCCTTGTATGGAGGACAAGAGGGTCAAATCATACAGTGATAAAGGAGCCACAACAAATATTCCTTGAAAGCACTGCTACTTTGTGTGTGTAGTGTTCACTGCTTATTCTTAAATGTAAGAATGAGCCTTTGATCGGTTTGAAGTACAACTACATGACTTCTGTCCCTGCTTTCAGAATAATAGCATTATTCCGTTCTAGTTGCCAAACTAAAGAGCATCATCAAAATCTGCAAAGTTATGTGGCATCCCTAATGCAACTGGTAAAGATGACTATAGCAACTAGTTTCCATACTAATATAAAAATAAAGCATTCATATTCTCTCTCTCTCTCTCTCTCTCTCTCTCAATCTCCCAAAGTATTCTGCTTTTAATGTGTTGATACATCTATTTCAGGGCAGACAAGCACAATGATGAGAACAATTAAATAATTGCTGATTTAAAGTCCTCAAAAGAAAGTAAAACAAATACTACATCAGAATCATTTAATCTATACAGGGTTCCAGGTAGGGCCAGGAGATCATTCCCTTTTGTCTGTACAAGTGTTGCATGTACACACATGGTTTCATTGGGTACCAGGATCCTGTACTCTGACATGCAATAAACTACTTTATGGGTAAAACAATGAGATCAACATAATTGACTTCAAAAGACTTAAGAAAGACAAATAAAAGAATGGGCTAAGTGATTGTTCAGATCTCTCTTTAAAAGTATCTTAAAACCAGCAGGATTTTTTTTGGGGGGGAGGGGGTAGATTGCATTGCAAGCACATGACCCCCCCCCCCCAAAAAAAGGGTTCTGAAAAAAATGGTTGTGGGAAAATAAAATATAGGTCTAGGAAACACACTGAAAATTTGCCCTTGATATTTGCCCTTGATAAAATCCACATTTTAAAAGGAGCTGTTCTGATGGTACTTTTCTGCAAAGCTGCAAAAAGAAAAAAATATAGAAGTGTTTTCTTCTTTTAAGAATTCATCACCCTTTAGAATTTGGCAAGATTAGTGCACCTTTTTGTAAAAGTGTGAATTAAGATTTCTGATATGAAAGGCAGGAAGAAAGTCTTTGTCATTGGTGTTTCCAGACAAAGGCCATTATGCAAGGTGTGAGCACACAAATGGAGCAGAAGACTTACTATAGTCTGCTATCTTGCAACTTACATTTTTGGTATTTTGCTTTCCATAGCAGATAATAGGATATAGCCATACACACATACTCCTTTAGAAGAGAGTCTTGTTTTCCATTCCCCATCTGCTCTACCATGTGAAGTAAGAGCTTTGGAAAGCATGTGCATGGAACCAGGGAAGATACAGCAATGTAGAGGGGATTTAATTCATATTTCCTTTTGGTTAATACTGGGTATATTTAATTTCTTAATAATAAGAAGAATGACACATGGGCAAAATAAAGGAAATAGATAAAGCATGTCCAGTGTTTTAAATGAGGAATTGAAATAGGCTTTACCAGCTCTGTGTTGACTTTTTAAATATATCTGTGTCAGCAATGCTGTTTTAAAGTGCTTTGTTTATTAGGATTTTTCCTGTCTTAATAAATCTTGTCAGCTAAATATTATGAGCAAGATCCAGTCAAAAGTTAAGCACTCCAAGTCCCACTGTGATTTCAATGAAAACACTGACTGTTCCATGGAAAGGGCCTTCAAAGTGCTTAGAAGTATCATCCTATACATTTCTTCATGATGCATATGCCAAGTCTTAGGGTGTATAGGATTGCACTGCACATTCAACTGGATGTTTCCTTATCAATTTAAGGCTTTTCAATTGTCCTTCTTCTCCTCCCAGCTGACCTCCTGACCAGCCTACTTGATGTGGACTCACTAGTGTAAATCGAGTGTGTGGGTGTTGTGTTTGCCCCTACCATTTTCCATATGCTCTGCCTCACCAACACTGCCATCCGGCGTAGTCCTTTCGTAGTTGTCCTCTGGGAGTGGAAGGGCACCCAGTCTTGGCCCTGAAGAACTCTTACTGCTTGGTGTTTCTGACTCCTCCAGACCGCTGTCATAGCAACTCTGCAATGACCCTTGATGTGGGTCCTGAGGCTGACTCACAACTGAAAACGTCACTCTACGAAATGGCTGCAAAAGAAAAGATTCTGAATGTCACTTGGAAGGTAGGGTCTTCAAGAAAACCAAACCAAACAAAAAAACATCACTCAAAACATAGCTGAGTCCCCAGTATCTAAATCAGGGCTGCAGAACCTCACCCTGGCCCTCCAAGGTTTCCCAATGGCCCTGCTGCCTTCTTTCTTGCCACCCCCTTTCTCCCTAACCACCAGTTGTTTGATCATTTCTTGGCCGTTGATCAGTTACCCTCCCACTCCATTCCCACTGGCTGCAATGCCTCTCTCAAACTCCTGGCAGTAAAATGTTCTAGTACCCTTGCAGGTTTGCCCTCCTTTCTTTTGGCTTTGGTCCCACCCACCATAGTATTTCAAACCCAACCAGTCCAGTTTCTTGGAAATGGAATTTGGTCTTTAGGCTGAAAGAAGTTCTGCACCCTGGATCTAAATGTAAACCGTAAACCGTCCCGAGACTTTTAAGTATGGGACAGTATACAAAAGTTTTAAATAAATAAATCCTGGCTAAACAACTCCTAACCTAAGCTTATGAGGCTTCAATGCTATTATAATATATGTGAGGCTTCATCTCAACTTTAGATTCTCTAATCATGTGTACTTGGGCCAAAGGCGAGGTTGAACACTACATGCTATGAGTTTAAAGGTTTGAAATCTATTAAATACTTTAGCTATTTGCTATGTGTGAAGTGGATCTTTCAAGGAAGAGGAGGGACACTTGATTTCTGTGCATCTAAGGATGATACAATTGAAGGGCAGCAGCTGTGCGTGTGGATGATTCCAACGAAAACACTGTATTACGAGTGATGTGAGGGATATGGAAGTTCTATCTGTGCAGAAAGACTGAGAGGGACTCGTTGTTGCAAACACCCCTTTAAAAAATTTTTTCTATGCAATTTAATATTTCATTTACTGTTTCTATTGGATCATTTTTATATAGTTTGGACCTTGTTTTAAATTGCCTTGATTAGTCTAGGAAGGTGACATAGACATTTTATGACTATAAGGAAAGGAATGTATCATCATTCAATATTGCACTCAAGTACTGAATATTTGCATGTGAAACTAAATAAAACCAACCATTATTATTAGAAGTCCAAATTCCTAAAACAATAGGTCCTTTTCCAGGATGCTATCAACACAACTAGTGGTCAACACACTGGACCAGTTTGTATGATCAACAGAAATCACAGCTTATTATTTCTTGGTCATTATTTTTAAGTCATCTGAATATTCACCACCTGGACACAGCCTGTTGTGTCATCCAAACCCAGACAGTGTGGCTTGTTGGATGGGAAAACAACCCTCCAATAACCCTACAACAGCTCATGGATTATGGGAGGGTTGTTTCTTCCTTCAATAAGCCACATCGTCTGGGTTCATACACAACAAGCTCTACCTGGATGGTGATAATTCAAATCCTGTCCTGCACATGCCTAGCACATTCCATGATTTAAATGAGCCATGGTAACTTAAGTAAGCCAACATGGTTCATTTTGATTGCACACACCAAATTATTATGAATTTGCCTACCCCTGTTTGTCTTTATCGATGGCTGATGTTGGCAAAGAAGAGAACATTCCTAAATATTATGGGAAAGAACACACCATGGAGATGCTGTTTTTTAGTCATTCTTGTGGAGCCAGAAATGTCTTCCAATGGCTCCCAATATATCTTGAGAATGAGGTGACAGAGTACTCAAATTATCCTTTTTCAACAGACTTTGTGCTCTGACTTTTGTGGTGGGCTTGGCATGTGGTACAGGCAGTTTTCACAAACTTTTTTTTAATTACCTGAGCCTCTTTAAAGGATTAACAAGACTATTGTTCAACAAAGTGAATTTCTCGTTCCCTCTAGTTACCTAGGATGCTAGGCCAGGGAGAACTGGTAGCTCTTCAGATTTTGTTGGTCTCCAATTCCCAACAGACTTAGTCAACGTGGGCCGTAATCAGGGATGGTGGGTGTCCTACTTCAGCAATGTCTGGAGTTCCTCAGGGCTTAGGGGAAGAACAGGCCTGAATGCCACCTGGTGAGTTATCAAGCAATCTTTTACCTGAGATGAAACCCCTGGGAGACACGTCAGATTTACAGAGGTTCACTGGTGGCGCAGCAATTTGGTACATATGCTTTGCCCTGAAAAGACAAGCTTCCAAGTGTAGTGCATGCATGTTCAGCTGCATCACACTGTAGAAATGCACAACTGCTTTCATCTGTTGGGTCCACACCAAGGTATACCTCTTGGAGAAAACTGTTTAAGCATAGGGTGGCCTGTGTTAAGGTATTTCCGACACAGAGATGTCCTGAATATTTCAAATGGCATTGGGCAAAGACTGCCATTGAAAATTTCAGCATGAAACCTTCATGGCGCTTGGCATAAAGCTCTTTGGAGCAGAGGCCCAAAGGATCTAAGATTTTACAGAGAGCATAAATGTTACAGTACAGTGTGGCTGCCAGTAACGCTCTCACACATGGGCATTTTTAAAAATCAATTGCTGTGGCTTTGAAAGCCAGACACTGTACAGAAAAGAAGAGAAAGAAAAGACAAAATGGTGCAGTTAGTCCACTCCTTGGCCATAAAATTTAATGCCAGGAGATTGGGCATTTTGGCCAACTGTCTTAATAAAATCTTCAGACTTCTGCTGCCAAAACTGATACCACAAATATTCCATTGGGACTAGACATCCATTGATTATCATTATGGATTTGTGTTTATTCCAAAATGTCAAGTCATCTCCAAAGTTTAGGAAGGCATTATAAAGGTTTATTTGTTGCACGCCAACACCCAAGTGTATTCAGAGAATAGGGAGGAATGGGGAAAGTTTGTAAATGAAACCCCATGGAATTCAGTGAACCATCAAAAGCAAACTCAAGGAAAGTGTGTGTGTGTGTGTGTATCATTTTTTAGCTGTTTTCATCATCCATGGCAGACAACTCTTCACACAAGAGAGATAAAGTGTATGGATGTGCATATCACAACCAAATCTCCTCTTATTATCTATTTGTTGCAGACATTGTGGGGCACTGCCCCATCTGAAATCCCTGACTCCATGACTCAGGTTTTGCTGCTCACATGAACAGATCATATGAGATCAGCCTAGAGAACATTGGTCACCACACAGATTAGAAATGTCCTTAAGAAGATCAGATGAATTCATGTCAACGCTGCCATGAATGAAAGAAATTGGCTCAAATGCATGCCAGGAAATGCCTTTGAATGAGACACCAGGGAAGAAATTCTGAAACTTGTCCCAAACTAGCATTTCAGTAGCAATTCTCTCTGCCCCTCTCTCCCTGCTCCCTCCATCTCTCTCTCCACCCCCCCCCCCCCTTCTCTGTGTACACATGTGTGAATTTCCTTCATCTGACCAAGGATCCATTTAGCCTGGCTTCTGTTTTAAACAGGAGAGAGGTGCCTCTGGAAGCTCACATCCACTCGATTTTCTCCTGTGTTTTGACCCTAGCAACATCCTAGTGCCCTGCACATGACGGTTCCATTTAGTAATCATGGCCAATAACAAACAGTAAAGTTCACCCTCCACCCCAGGAATGTGATTTGCCCTTCATTTAGGTCTATGTTTTACAAATGTGTGACGCCTGAACTACCTTCCTGTTCCTGCTTAAAATCAAAAACCTGTTTTACACTAAAAAGTATATTTTGTGTTGTCTGGTTGGTGCTTAAAAAAAAAATCAGCTACCAGCACAATTGCCAAGCATCCTTTCCTTGAAACGGTTGCACAGTCCAGTTAATAGTGCCTCCTGGAGTCCAAACCTTTGTTTTGTTCAGGCAGTACAGGCAATGGTGATAGTTCAGGGATTCCTCTGTACTCATTAGCTCTAACACAGGCTGCACCAGAAGATCCCAGGGGGCCCTTCTTTCCTTTTTCAGAACAGTGCCAATGCCCCTGTCTGATCAGAACAGGAAAAATCGACACAGTGGGGGAAAACAGTCTTCTCTGAAAGACAGAGACTTTTCAAGGAATGCTTTGGCTTCTTCTCATGCCAGTCTAGTGTGCTCTGGTATCCAGGGAAGAATGGCTGATTGAGGGTGCAACCCTGGGAATAAGTCCCACTGAGAATTCTGAGTAGAGATGGGTGAGGATTTAGTTTCAGTTCTGTTTGGGTACACATTTACCAACATTCAGAAGATGATTCTCAATATTTGGGATGAAATAACTTGAGACAGAGGACACTGAATGCCAGAGAAACCAAAACTGCCAAATTCACCTTTCCGGGTCCAGGGATGTGTGTACTTTTCTCTTAAAGTATCTGATTTTGCACCGTATGGGTGGAATTGGGGATGTCACATCCACGCCCCCCCCCCCCCCAAAGTTATCCTTTTTAACAGCTGTATGGCACATGGTTCTCTCTATGGTACCTACTGAATCTGGCCAGTGCAAATGCTGAGAATTACAGTTCAATTCCTTTTTGATAAGGATGTGGTAAAAAACTGCCCAAAACTTGAGATTTAAGAAATTCAGATGCAGGCGAAAGTGAGACTGAGAAATTTGGCCATTCTTATTTCTGAGTAAACATGCAGTGGCTTGCTCTGCACAGGTCTTTGTAATTTCCTTATTATTCTTCCAGGTGTCTTTTACATGTCAGACATCTAAATGCCTTTTCATTTTGTTTTCTGTTTCTGGCATCCATCTTTCATCTATCTATCATCTATCTATCATTTTAATGAGAAATGTGTAGCTTAGTAACCTTTGGGATGTTTCTTTTACAAGGCCAGAGATACTTTATTTTCAGGTTTAAATGATTCTCATCAGGATGCAAAAAGGGATATTATTCAGAATGGCAAGTAGCATTTGTCATATGTACCTGTGAAAGCACACCAAGAAGGGCCCTTCAGCATCCACGTACTCGGCTGCATGTTTTCATTTATAAAAACAGAGCTACCCACATTAGAGGCAAAACTCCTCTGGGATCCTCTCCCACAGGGTTTCAATATACTATTACGGACTGCACTTGGTTTGCATGGATGGACATTTCCTTTGGGGT